TTCTTGGAAGGGACATTGTGAGCAATCTCAGCACAGTAAGATTTGTTGCGCGTCAGCAGCACTTCAGGCTCCTTGACGACGTGGACCAGGAACCTCCCGAAGCCACTGGGCAGCCTGTGCTTTGTTTTCTTGTTGCTCTCATAGCTGACACTGGGCGTCAGGATCAGCCTTTGAATCTTCTACATACCCTATAGTCAATACCTCCGGGTTTCCACCAGTTATGCTTAATTGTGACACATCAGTCTGACTGGTGCTGGATGAACTTTTTGGTCCTCTTTTTGATGATCTTAGGCTTCCACGAGGGGTCTGAGGGCAGCCATGATGCCTTCAAGAAAACGGCAGAGACCATGTCAAGGAAGAGTCCTGGAAGAAGGCCTTCCTGCCCCAGCTTGAACATCATTGCAGAGTGTCTTCCAGTCACCAGCTACTGGGCAATGGGTATGGGAATAGATGGGCACCTCTGCCAGGCGTGCTGTCCGCCTGTCTCCGGATTCGGCAAAACAGTAAGTACTCTCCAGGTGCGACCCTGGGAGCCTGAAACCTATCTTTTTAAGGGGACATAGTCTACCCACTACAGATGGAGAGAAGTGAGAGGCTTCAAGAACTATCAAAGTAAGAGAAATCTTAGTGACTAGAAGGGTGTGGGGTGGGGGCAGTAGAATGAAGAGAAAAATCACTCAAATGCCCTGCTCTCATAGGCATCACAAAGCTCGGAGTCATGCTGGTGTCTTGTTCCTCTCTGAGTGAGTTCCTTAGGATAGTATTTCGAGAACCTGATTCCCGTATTTTGGGGCCAGTAAACACATTGCTGAAATAACCTCCTTCCTGCCTGACAGCCTGCTCCCTTCCCCGTGGGGCGGGGTTCTCCCCACGCAGTCCTGCAGGCACACAATCAACTCCAGTTCAGGCGACACTTTGGAGCCGAACCAAGTTCAGGGTCTCAGGGCCCCGGGACACCGGAAGCTGCTCCAGATCTCAGCAGCCTTAAGGGGAAGGGCAGAAGGGAGCCAGCTTTGGGCCAGTCTCAGGGTGGAGGAGGAGAGGACCGGCCAGTGGTCAGTAGGGGAGCCCCTTTCTCCCAATCCCAAGCATGACTCAAAGCACTTTCCTTCTGGAAGGTTCTGCTCTTCCCTCCTCCCATTACCCACCAAAGATCTTGAGCAGGTGTCAGAGTTCCCTGGAGGGCTTGTGACAACACAGATCACTGGGCCTCTCCCCAGTGTCTGATTCAGCAGCTCTGAGCTAGGGATCAGGAATTTGCATTTCTAATGCGTTCCCAGGTGGCTGGGGCGTTGCTATTCCTGGGAACAGGTGAAACTGCAGCTGAGTTAAACCTCTCAGCCCTGCCTGTGAGGCTCACACAGGGAGTTAAAAACAACACCGGCCCCTGTGCTGGATCCCAGACCTGAGAATCTCTGAGGATGGGGCACAGCGCTGGCATGCTTAGGAGTCTAATGGTCAGCCAGACTGGGGGCCAAGAGCCCAATTCCTCCTTGTGCATCAGACATAGATTCAGAAAGCTTTCCCTGACTCCCCCAGGGGCATCAGGGCTCTCATCCACCATCCATTTATTCCTTCCCTCGCGTGCACTGGGTCCTGCTGTGAGGCCAGGTCTCAGCTCTGTCCTCGTGGTGATTTCATGCCTGGTGGAGGAGACAGACATAAACAATCAGTCTGGACAACATCAGAGTGCCTTGAAAATAAAACAGGATGACGTGATAGGGAGCATTACTTTGGATGGGCTGATCAGGGGAGGCCTCTCTGAGGAGGTGACATTAGAGCCAGAGCTGAGGGAGCTGCCATGGAGACCAGTGGAGAGTGTTTGAAGCAGTGAGTACATGCCAAGGTCCTGTGGTGGTCATAAGCTGAACACAATGGAAGACCCGCTAGAGGCTGGGGTGGCTGCATCTCAGCGAGTGAGTTGGGGGAGGGAGGAGAGGTGGCCTAGTGCCAGAGCTGCAGGGCCTGCTGGGCTCCGGGGATGGGTCAGGGCTTTAAGCCTGTGCAAAGGGAAGCCAACAGAGGGTTTAAGCCAGGAGTAACGAGATCCCTTTGCTTTGAAAAGGTCCACTCTGATCTCTGTAATATACCCTCACTGAAATGAAGCAGATTCCTTTCCCTGAGTATTTTTCTCAGACTCACCGCTGTGAGAGTACTGTGTTTGTCCCTGCTGGTCCGGGACCTGTGTGAGGCTGTCTTCCTTGCCCATTGGAAATGCCCAGTAAACTACTGGCTCTGTGGTGAGTGTCCGGCGGTCTGCCTAACATCGTCCCACCCCTGCCCTAACAGGAGTGTTGGCTGCTGGTGGCTGTGTCCAGCATGCTGTCCCCATCTTTATACTGTTCTACAGTTGAGTGAACTTTTTAAAGGGTGAGTGAGGCCCTTTTCTATCTGAAAGGGATGCTTTGTACCAATGTTAGCTGCAAGAATGCTCCTGTCTGACTGCACTGTGGCTGTCCGCTTGCTCTGATGCTGCTGCGGAATGTGTCCCCAGGCCTCAGTGGGCCCCAGCGGGGAGGACATGGGTGTTGGAGAGGAGGGGGCTGTACAGAAGCTGCAGGATAGAAAATGTCACTCTGGCAGGAAAAGTAGCATATCAGATGGGGCCTTGCAACAAATGGAGTGTTGAGCAGAAACTTGGCTTTCATTTAAAAAGCCAGTGTGCATTGGGCCCACACATGGTGAGGGGTTAAGTGGTTCTCCTGAGTTAGGAAGAGAAGCCCCAAAACTCAGCCCAGATTTCAACAAATCAGAGCTCATACTCTTTGGACCTGGGAACAAAAGCCCTAAGAGAGATACAGGGAAGAGAGAGATTTAGACTGTGAGCCTCTTGTGTGCTTTTTTGGTACTCCCTAAAAGCTGCTGCCAAAATCATGCCACCTTGACATTGCATGCTTCAGTTCCTCCAACACAGAAAGTTCATTCCTGCTCCGGACCTTTACACTTGCTGTGCCCTCTGCCTGGAGTCCTCTCCCGGTCTTCTCATGATTGGCCCTTCTTCATGCAGTTCTCTGCTCAAGGATCACCTTCTAGAAGCCTCACTGTCATTCACTCTCTGTCAGACCACTCTATTTTGTTTCTCAGCATTTAACTTAATCTGAAATAATTTTGTTTGCTTATTTGTGTATGTCTCCACCCACTGGAATGCACCTCTGCCATGGAAGGAACCTCTCTCATGATCTCCAGTGCCCAGAGCTGTCCTGACCCATAGAGGACACTCGGTAAATAGTCACTGAATGAATAAATCAATAAAGCTGTTGATTGTGGCTGCTGGCAACTTACCAAAGGGTTTCATATCTGAGCCCATTGAGATGCTTTTGGCTGAAAGTCCTAGAAAGCATCAACCCACGCTGTTGAAGAATACACATATTTGTTATTTCCACATAGGGGGAAGTCCTGAGATGGAGCAGCATTAGGACCCTCAGTCTCAGTGGTCAAGGATGGACATCCCTGAGGACCCAGGCTTTTTTCATCTCTCTGCTCCAGCATTTTCTGCAGTGCAAGGTGGCCCCATCAACCCAGACTTCTCATGCAGGTGGGATAACATCCAACAGAAGTGGTGCAGGCAGCATCTCTTTATCAGGGAAACAGCTTTTCTCAGAAGTCACAGCACACACACCCATTCTTATTGAATTTCTCACAGTCTGGAGGCCAGAAGTCTGAAGTCAAGGTGTAGGCGGAGCCACAACCCCTCAGAAGACTCTAAGGGAGGACGCGGCCCCTTCCAGCTCCCGGAGGTGTGGGCAGTCCCTGGTGTCCTTGGCTTGGGCACAGGTGGCTATAATCTCTGCCTCTTTCTTCAGGTAACTGCTTTCTCTCTGGGTCTCTGTATATCCTCTCTTCTTGTAAGAACCCAGTCTTTGGATTTAGGGCCCATCCTAATCCAGTAGGAACTCACCTGAACATAATCACATCTGCAAAGACCCTATTTCTAAGTTAAGTCATTGTGGGTAAAATTGTGATTTATCCAGAATATTGCTCCTGGCTTTAGTACATATGCATATCAACAGGAGCTCAAGGGTGGTAAGAAATATGGCTTTAGTGGATTTGCATAATTCCTCAGGAGGGGAGAGAAGTTCACCTCCATATCAATGGGTAATTACCTGGGCTATGGGAGGGCTTATCTGTACCTGAGAGGGGAGGGGAGGGCCGGTTCTGCTGCTGCTGGAGCAGGAAAGAGAGAAGGGCCGGACTGCAGTTGTAAGCAATAAACGGGGTTTAAACTTTATTTCTCCCTTTGACTGATTTCGGTTTTTAGAGGTATTTTGCCCCAGGATTTCCTCTCCCCAGACTTTCAGTCATGCTTACAGTTCCCGGGGGTTAGGATTTGAAACATATCTTTTTTTTTTTAAACAGTTTTATGGTTTTATTGACACAAATGCAATGTGCACACAGCTGTCTGTTCACTTTCTTCACCGTGCAGCCTGGTGTTTGGGAGCCAACCTCTGATGGTTAGCTCGGCTGCTCTTTCCACGATGGGTTTCTGGTTCTTGGAAGGGACATTGTGAGCAATCTCAGCACAGTAAGATTTGTTGCGCGTCAGCAGCACTTCAGGCTCCTTGACGACGTGGACCAGGAACCTCCCGAAGCCACTGGGCAGCCTGTGCTTTGTTTTCTTGTTGCTCTCATAGCTGACACTGGGCGTCAGGATCAGCCTTTGAATCTTCTACATACCCTATAGTCAATACCTCCGGGTTTCCACCAGTTATGCTTAATTGTGACACATCAGTCTGACTGGTGCTGGATGAACTTTTTGGTCCTCTTTTTGATGATCTTAGGCTTCCACGAGGGGTCTGAGGGCAGCCATGATGCCTTCAAGAAAACGGCAGAGACCATGTCAAGGAAGAGTCCTGGAAGAAGGCCTTCCTGCCCCAGCTTGAACATCATTGCAGAGTGTCTTCCAGTCACCAGCTACTGGGCAATGGGTATGGGAATAGATGGGCACCTCTGCCAGGCGTGCTGTCCGCCTGTCTCCGGATTCGGCAAAACAGTAAGTACTCTCCAGGTGCGACCCTGGGAGCCTGAAACCTATCTTTTTAAGGGGACATAGTCTACCCACTACAGATGGAGAGAAGTGAGAGGCTTCAAGAACTATCAAAGTAAGAGAAATCTTAGTGACTAGAAGGGTGTGGGGTGGGGGCAGTAGAATGAAGAGAAAAATCACTCAAATGCCCTGCTCTCATAGGCATCACAAAGCTCGGAGTCATGCTGGTGTCTTGTTCCTCTCTGAGTGAGTTCCTTAGGATAGTATTTCGAGAACCTGATTCCCGTATTTTGGGGCCAGTAAACACATTGCTGAAATAACCTCCTTCCTGCCTGACAGCCTGCTCCCTTCCCCGTGGGGCGGGGTTCTCCCCACGCAGTCCTGCAGGCACACAATCAACTCCAGTTCAGGCGACACTTTGGAGCCGAACCAAGTTCAGGGTCTCAGGGCCCCGGGACACCGGAAGCTGCTCCAGATCTCAGCAGCCTTAAGGGGAAGGGCAGAAGGGAGCCAGCTTTGGGCCAGTCTCAGGGTGGAGGAGGAGAGGACCGGCCAGTGGTCAGTAGGGGAGCCCCTTTCTCCCAATCCCAAGCATGACTCAAAGCACTTTCCTTCTGGAAGGTTCTGCTCTTCCCTCCTCCCATTACCCACCAAAGATCTTGAGCAGGTGTCAGAGTTCCCTGGAGGGCTTGTGACAACACAGATCACTGGGCCTCTCCCCAGTGTCTGATTCAGCAGCTCTGAGCTAGGGATCAGGAATTTGCATTTCTAATGCGTTCCCAGGTGGCTGGGGCGTTGCTATTCCTGGGAACAGGTGAAACTGCAGCTGAGTTAAACCTCTCAGCCCTGCCTGTGAGGCTCACACAGGGAGTTAAAAACAACACCGGCCCCTGTGCTGGATCCCAGACCTGAGAATCTCTGAGGATGGGGCACAGCGCTGGCATGCTTAGGAGTCTAATGGTCAGCCAGACTGGGGGCCAAGAGCCCAATTCCTCCTTGTGCATCAGACATAGATTCAGAAAGCTTTCCCTGACTCCCCCAGGGGCATCAGGGCTCTCATCCACCATCCATTTATTCCTTCCCTCGCGTGCACTGGGTCCTGCTGTGAGGCCAGGTCTCAGCTCTGTCCTCGTGGTGATTTCATGCCTGGTGGAGGAGACAGACATAAACAATCAGTCTGGACAACATCAGAGTGCCTTGAAAATAAAACAGGATGACGTGATAGGGAGCATTACTTTGGATGGGCTGATCAGGGGAGGCCTCTCTGAGGAGGTGACATTAGAGCCAGAGCTGAGGGAGCTGCCATGGAGACCAGTGGAGAGTGTTTGAAGCAGTGAGTACATGCCAAGGTCCTGTGGTGGTCATAAGCTGAACACAATGGAAGACCCGCTAGAGGCTGGGGTGGCTGCATCTCAGCGAGTGAGTTGGGGGAGGGAGGAGAGGTGGCCTAGTGCCAGAGCTGCAGGGCCTGCTGGGCTCCGGGGATGGGTCAGGGCTTTAAGCCTGTGCAAAGGGAAGCCAACAGAGGGTTTAAGCCAGGAGTAACGAGATCCCTTTGCTTTGAAAAGGTCCACTCTGATCTCTGTAATATACCCTCACTGAAATGAAGCAGATTCCTTTCCCTGAGTATTTTTCTCAGACTCACCGCTGTGAGAGTACTGTGTTTGTCCCTGCTGGTCCGGGACCTGTGTGAGGCTGTCTTCCTTGCCCATTGGAAATGCCCAGTAAACTACTGGCTCTGTGGTGAGTGTCCGGCGGTCTGCCTAACATCGTCCCACCCCTGCCCTAACAGGAGTGTTGGCTGCTGGTGGCTGTGTCCAGCATGCTGTCCCCATCTTTATACTGTTCTACAGTTGAGTGAACTTTTTAAAGGGTGAGTGAGGCCCTTTTCTATCTGAAAGGGATGCTTTGTACCAATGTTAGCTGCAAGAATGCTCCTGTCTGACTGCACTGTGGCTGTCCGCTTGCTCTGATGCTGCTGCGGAATGTGTCCCCAGGCCTCAGTGGGCCCCAGCGGGGAGGACATGGGTGTTGGAGAGGAGGGGGCTGTACAGAAGCTGCAGGATAGAAAATGTCACTCTGGCAGGAAAAGTAGCATATCAGATGGGGCCTTGCAACAAATGGAGTGTTGAGCAGAAACTTGGCTTTCATTTAAAAAGCCAGTGTGCATTGGGCCCACACATGGTGAGGGGTTAAGTGGTTCTCCTGAGTTAGGAAGAGAAGCCCCAAAACTCAGCCCAGATTTCAACAAATCAGAGCTCATACTCTTTGGACCTGGGAACAAAAGCCCTAAGAGAGATACAGGGAAGAGAGAGATTTAGACTGTGAGCCTCTTGTGTGCTTTTTTGGTACTCCCTAAAAGCTGCTGCCAAAATCATGCCACCTTGACATTGCATGCTTCAGTTCCTCCAACACAGAAAGTTCATTCCTGCTCCGGACCTTTACACTTGCTGTGCCCTCTGCCTGGAGTCCTCTCCCGGTCTTCTCATGATTGGCCCTTCTTCATGCAGTTCTCTGCTCAAGGATCACCTTCTAGAAGCCTCACTGTCATTCACTCTCTGTCAGACCACTCTATTTTGTTTCTCAGCATTTAACTTAATCTGAAATAATTTTGTTTGCTTATTTGTGTATGTCTCCACCCACTGGAATGCACCTCTGCCATGGAAGGAACCTCTCTCATGATCTCCAGTGCCCAGAGCTGTCCTGACCCATAGAGGACACTCGGTAAATAGTCACTGAATGAATAAATCAATAAAGCTGTTGATTGTGGCTGCTGGCAACTTACCAAAGGGTTTCATATCTGAGCCCATTGAGATGCTTTTGGCTGAAAGTCCTAGAAAGCATCAACCCACGCTGTTGAAGAATACACATATTTGTTATTTCCACATAGGGGGAAGTCCTGAGATGGAGCAGCATTAGGACCCTCAGTCTCAGTGGTCAAGGATGGACATCCCTGAGGACCCAGGCTTTTTTCATCTCTCTGCTCCAGCATTTTCTGCAGTGCAAGGTGGCCCCATCAACCCAGACTTCTCATGCAGGTGGGATAACATCCAACAGAAGTGGTGCAGGCAGCATCTCTTTATCAGGGAAACAGCTTTTCTCAGAAGTCACAGCACACACACCCATTCTTATTGGCCAGAATTTGTCCACATGCCCACCCCTAGGCCAATCACAGTGGGGGAATGGTATTCCTATGACTTGGCTTAGCATAATCAGTATCCCCTCTTGATAGGGGCACATGATCCTCCCTCTTGAGCATGTATGGCTCATGGAGGAAGATAGACTCTCTGCCCTCAAGGAAGAACAGGGTGGGGGAGAATGAATCTTGGGGAAGGCAACCAATGGTGTCTGTCATCACACATGTTTAATTTCATCTTCACAAAACCCTGTCAACAGTATAACAATAGTTGACCCCTAAGTGGATCATGTTTTAACACCCTCCCTTAAAAACAACAATTATATTCAATAAGAATCATTATTTTCTGGATTACTTCTTTTTTTTTAAGTTTTTTATTAAGGTATTATTGATATACACTCTTATGAATGTTTCACATGAAAAAACAATGTGGTTACTGCATTTACCCATATTATCAAGTCCCCACCCATACCCCAGTGCAGTCACTGTCCATGAGTGTAGTAAGATGCCACAGATCCACTATGTGCCTTCTCTGTGCTACATTGTTTTCCCCATGATCCCCCGCATGGATTACTTCTTTAGTTTGAAACAAGTCAAAAGAGGAATACATTTCTATTTTAGAGATATTTATTAAAATATTTCATGTGGGTGACTGAGTGTGTGTGTGTGTGTGTGTGTGTCACATCTGGAGTTCTCTGAACTAAACTCAACATAGGCTATAATATTTATCAGAGGCTGAGTGATATAAATGTGCTCATTTGAAGTTTATGACTATTATTAATACTCAATAATAACTGTAGCAATTGGTAGTACAGGGATTGGCAAGCTTTTCCTGTGAAGAGCCAGATGATAAATACTTTAGCCTTTTTGGGCCATAGGGTCTCTGTTACATTTCTCTGCCACTGAAGCAGGAAAGCAGCCATAAACGGTATGTGATGAATGGGTGTGGCTCTGTTCCAATAAAATTATCTTTATGAAAATGGGCTGGGAGCCAGATATGGCTTGTGGGCTATATAATTTTATAGTTCCTGGTTTAGAATTTAGACCAATAAGGGATTTTTTTTCAGGGGGAATATTTTATCAAGGACATGATTTAGAGTGACCGGTGCATGATAAGAAGCAGACTGATTTTCAGTGGGTTTTATTATTTTTTTAAATACCTACAGGCAATGCATTGTGGGGGTTTCCATCCCCCTTAGCCTACCTCTGATTCCCATTTTATAGAGGGGCATCTGGGACTCTGAGGGGATGCCTGGAGTTAAGAGGGGCACCTGGGCTCAGAGGGGATACCTGGGGCTCGGGTGAACCCAACAAACTGTGCAGAAATCTAGGCTGGTTGCTCAGCTACCTTTTTCTGGGCCTGGAAACCAGTGAGCCTTGGCTGGCGCATCTCCCCCTGCCAATCTGTGCCACGGGTGTCTCTTTCTGGGACAGACCCTGCATATGCTGTATTGCTCAGGGAAGCCAGTGGCTCCTCAGTCACCAAGGGCAGCCCCTTTCTCTCTGGCCCAGGAATAGAGGGGAAAGAAGATGTTCCCTGGGCAGGCTTAGACAGTTTGCAGGCCCACCTTCCCTGACTTCCCTCTTTGGAGGCTGCAGAAAACTTTGCTCCCTAGTTCTGATCAAAGACCAACTCCCAAATATGCTTCCTCTTAGGTGTTTCTCTCCAGGCTCCTAAAAGGTTTTTTGAAGCTGTGACCACAAACCCTGCACTTTGTGGGAGGAACCCTATTCTCTCCTCGGCTGCCTCAGATTTCTGTGTTGTGCAGGTTCCGTCCCTCCTTCCTTCATGTGCACAGTTCAGTGGCACTAAGCACATTCACATTGTGCAGCCATCACACCCTCCATCTCCAGAACTTTCTCATCTGCCCAAACTGAAACTCTGTTCCCGTTAGACAGTAACTCCTCACTTCCTCCCTCCCCAGCCCCTGCGGCGCACTATCTACTTTCTGTCTCTGTGAATTTGATGGCTCTAGGGTCCTCATGTAAGTGGAACCACACATTATGTGTCCTTTTGGGTTTGACTTATTTCACTTAGCATCACGTCTTCCAGATTCATCCACGTTGTCAGAATCTCCTCCGGTTTTAAGGCTGAGTCATGTTCCAGCATGTGGATGACCCATGTTGCATGGATCTATTCATCCAATGACAGGCACTTGGGATGCTTCCACCCTTTGGTTGTTGTGAATAGTGCTGCTGTGAACATGGGTGTGCAAATATCTGTTTGTGTCTGTGCTTTCACTTCTTTTGGGCGTAGTTCTTTTGAGACGTTTTTTCCATATCCTCTCGAATACTGGTTATTTTCTGCATTTTTTTTGACCAATAGCCATTCTAACAGGTGTGAAGGAGTCTCTCATCGGGGCTGTGCTCGTATTTCCCTGGTGGTCAGGGGTGTTGTGGCTTAGCCTTTCCCACTCTTGTCTTCAGGGTGGGGCTCCTACCTCCGCTGATGAGGGCCTCGCAGTGGGTGAGGGCCTGGTCTTATCGCATTGAGGAAGCAGCTACTTTCTCTGGGAGTCAGTTTTGCCATCTGTGAAATGGGAAAAAGGATAATAACAGCACATGCCTCTCAGGGCAGCATGAGCATTCAGTAAGTCAGCACATCTAAGGCCCTTAGGAAGGTGCCTGGCATATAGTAAGTGCTCAAAAAATACAAGCTGTTTTTAGATTTCTGTTGTTACAGTCCAGGTTCAGATGGAACCTGCAGCATTGTCCAAAACAGGTGTGCTCAGGCTAAGGGCTTCAGGTAGCATGGGGGGATGAAAGTGGATCCCTCGACTCCTGCGAGGCCCCCATCTGCTCAGGGCGTTTTCAGGTTCATGAGTCCTTGAGGCCACGCCCTTGCTTACTTTGTGGTCTCGTATTTCATGTTCTCCCTCCCAGCACAGGATCTTTCAGTTTGTTGTATTTAACAAACATACTGAGGTTCTAAGGGCCTCACAGATATGAACTCACTTAATTCACACCACAACCATCTGAGATAGGTATTATCAGCTCCACTTTAAAGGTGGGGCGGTCAAAGCCCAGAGGAATTAAGGATCAAGCACAGAGGAGAGCTGAGGTTTGAACCTGGATTGCCCAGCTCCAGACTTGCTGCTGTTTTTAATGACCACGTTTTTTTTAGCTCTTGGCTTTGTCCCCGCTCTTTCCTCTGCCCAGAACACTGCCTCTGGGCCTCCCTTCCTCTTCGTTAATTAATTCCTTTTCTCCCACAGAATCAGTTCCTGTATCCACCAGGGTCTGAGCAGGAAGTGGACAGCACGCTCAAAATAGGAGACTCTCAAGAGGGTTCAACAGAGGAGCTATTTCCAAAGGCAGAGGGAAAACAAAGGACGGAGAGGCTGTTCTCAGCCCTTGAGCCGAAGGGTCGGGACCTGGAAGGAGAGGAGGCTGCTGATTCAGTCAGCTGTTGCCGCATAACAATGTAATGACTTAAAACAGCACCATTTAGGTATTTCTCCCGATGTGTGGGTAGAAACGGCGATTCAGGTCCCAAATGGCCCCTCAAGGTGCTGGCTGCCAGCTGGGGGCTCGTTGGGCTGCTGCTGGGGCTGGGATCCCCTCACGTGGCTTCTTCACCCAGATGCTTGGGCTTCCTCCCAGCGTGGCTGCCGAGTTCAAGAGGGAGTGTTCCAGGAGGTGAGGCCAGAAGCTGCTGATCGCTTAGGGTCCCCTCTTGGAGGCCACAGTGTCACTGGTGCCACATCCTATTGAAACAGGCCACAGTGTCAGCCTAGATGTGGGGGGAGGGGACATAGATTCTTTGTAAGAGGAGTAGCCAAGGATCTTTAATCTTTTAATCTTTAAGGAAATAGCATGGGCGGAATCTGGGGAATAGTGTCTCATTTCTCCCTCACCTTCTTCAGATCGCCTCCCTCCCACTGGCCAGAGGCAGCTGGACACGTAAGGACAAGGAAGCCTGCTGACCTGGCCTGTGACAGTCATCTTCTTGGGTGGCACGGGGTGGAAGCGGAAGATGGCTTTGAGGGGGAGGAGGACACCCTGACACAGCACCTGCTGCTGCCAAGCTCTTCTAGGACCCTCTATTTTTCCTTTATTATGATGCAATTTGTGACAGATCTGTGATTCGGCTTTGTGTCAAATTTGGCTTTGTGTCAAATTCTTCATTGTCAGTCTCTCTTTTAAGACCATGAGCTCCCAGGAAGTGGGACCAGCTGCTATGCCCACCACTGGATCCCCAGGCCCAGCACTGGCATAGGTAGGTGCTCAGTAGCCCCTCACTCCTGATCCATCTGCTAGAGCTGTGGGTTCTGTACCCCAAATACACCTTGAATCCATCCAGCTGTCTCTGGTTCCCCCAATCCAGATCCCTATAACACAGGACAACTGCATTTCTTTTTATTGAGGTATGGTTGATATGACAACTGTATCTTATCATATCTAAGCCACGTTTTTTACTCTTGACCTCCAAACAGTGGCCAGGGAGATGCATTTTTTTATTCTTAAGAAAAGAAAAGAAATTGTTTTGGTCAACTGGGGCTGCTCTAGAAGAAAGCTACAGACTGAGTGGCTTATAAGCAGCAGAATTTATTTCTCATACTTTTGGAGGCGGAAGTCAGAGGTGAAGGTGCTGGCAGATTCTCTGTCTGGTGAGAACCCACTTCCTGGTTCATAGGTGGTACCTGGGACCCTGTGTCCTCACCTAGCAGAAGGGGTGAGGAAGCTCTCTGGGGTCTCCTTTATAAGGGCACTTATTTCATGTATCAGGTTCCACCCTCATGACCTAACTGCCTCCCAAAGACCCCACCTCTTAACACCATCACACTGGGTGTTAGGATTTAACATATGAATTTTGGGGGACACACACATTTAGTCTTAGTAGAAACACACACCAGAGCAAAGACTGTACCATGAATTCCCCAACATGCCCATTTCTCAGATTTAACAATTATCCAGGTTTTTTTGTCCCTGTTGCTTCATCTGTCCTTGTTTCTTTCTCTTTGAGTGAATTGTCTTGAAGCTTACCTCGGGTCCTCATGGTGCCATCTGTGCTTCTCTGGCCCTTGAACAAACTGGACAGCTCCTTGTTGCAGGGCCTTTGCACTTACTGCTTATTTTGCCAGAGATGTCCTCCCCTGGCTCTGGCCCTTCATACTTCACCCCTCCACCCCCTCATCTCTCTGTGGTATTACCCCATTGTTTCTCTCATTAGCACTTAACATCATCTAAGATCCTTATTTATTTGCTTGTGGGATTTTTGTTGTTGTTGTTGTTGTTTGTTTTGCTTTTAAATTTCTCTTCCCAACTAAAAAAGAAGGCCAGGACACAGGGACCCTGTCTTTCTGGTCCACTACTCTATCCCCAGCTCATAACACACAGTAGGCCCAGCAAAGAGTGGGTGCTCAGCAGGTATTTGCTACATGAAGAATGAATGAATGTGAACATCTCTCTGGGTAGGTAGGGCAGGGTCATGTGACTTTAGAGGAGCCTTCTGGGTCCTGGGATAGGAACCATCCTCATGTGGCCAGCTGCTGTGGGCCATGGCATCTGACAGAAGCTTCTCTCCTCTTGTGACCTGGTGGAAATGGAGCAGAGTTATCAGTTCACAGCTGCCCGCTGAGTCCTCCCCACACACTTCCACCTTTGTCTCCGTAAGTACTTTTGTTTTGGCAACTTTGTGTTCACTGGTGTGGGGATATCTCAAGTCCTGAGAGCGGAGGCAAAGATGCAGTTCAGTGGCCAGCTCTTAGAGAAAATGGTGGCAGGAGACTGGCAAGGTGGTGGGGGGAATTTTGCAGGAAGTCAGGATTTGTAGGGGTTAGGCTGAGTCTCCTAGGGGATGTTTGGGAATTTTGGAGAACTCCACTAATATTCACAATATTGTAGGGGGCATTTTCACCTACAGAAGGAAAACAGGTCCTAAGAAGTCATATGCATCATCATGAGAAATTAGCATCTTAAGAACTATCTAGGTGCACACCAGCCTCAGGGCCTTTGCATTGGCTGTTCTCCCTGCCTGGAACACTCTTCCTCAGATATCCAAATGGTTCCTTCCTGCCCTTCCTTTGGATCTTCAGTGTAATGTCACCCTTTCACAGAGGCCTTCCCAAACCACCCATTTAAATCACAACCCTCTCCCCACTGGTGGCACTTACCCTGTTCTCTTATTTTTTCCCCTAAGGTACGTATCATCCTGTAACAGCATTGTCCAACAGAGGTGCAATGAGAGCCACATATGCAATTAAAATGTTTTTTTAGTAGGTGCATTTCAAAAATAAAAAGGTGAAATTTATTTTAATAGTATATTTTATCTAATCCAACATACCTGGTTGCTATTTCAATGTGTAATCAATATAAAGATATTGAAATATTTTATGCTCTTTCTTTCATACTAAGTCTGAAACCTGGCGTGTGTATGGCACAGCACCTCTCATGTGGGACCAGCACCATCTGGAGTGCCCAGCACACACACATGGCCAGTGTGTGGACTGCACAGCTCTGGCATGTTACAAAATATACCAATAATTATGTTGATTATTTATCACTCTTGCTTGTCTGCTGGACTGTAGGCTCTGCAAGGCCAGGGAGCTCTGTCATGTTTACTTCTGAGTCCCCAGCACCTAGCAGAGTACCTGGCACATAGTACATGCTCAGTGTACGTGCTAAAATGGATGAAACGAACAAATGTGATAAAAGGAGGGAAGGAGCTATTCTTGCCTGTTCAGCAGTGAGCAAGGTGGCAGATGTGGGCCAATGCGACTGTTTCCTCTCCCTCATTGGCTCCTTCTCTTTTTCCTGTCCTTTCCCTCACTGTTCCCTTCCCTCCACTATTTCCTCTTTAACCTTTCTCCAGTTTTTCCTTTTCCTCTGCAAAGAGTAGTGATTCAAGCCCTGGCTCTGGAGACAAGTGACATTTCAGTCCCTGTTCTGCCACGAGCCAGCTGTGACTCCTTTTAACCAAGTCTTATCTCCCAAGAGATAGAACTCATCCGTTGTCCGGGGGCTGATAATTATTCTTCCCAGGCTGAGGTGGGGCCAGAACATGTGGCTGCCTGCACGGATTGATGATTCTGGCTAATGTTGGCACCTTGCTAAGTGTGTTACCAGGATGAAATCATTTATTCCTTCTGACTACCCCAGGAGGTTGGCATTATCCCCATTGCAGAGATAAGGAAGCCAGGGCACAGAGAGGTTAGGCCACTTGCCCAAAGCCATCTGGGTACAAAGGTAGGCGCTTAACCACTGGGCTCTGGTAGCTGCTGTGCATTAATGCACATCAGTTGAGGACCTGCTGTGTGGCAGGAACTGTTCTAGGAGTTAGAGACATAGTAGTGGACAAAATAGATTCCTAACTTCATTCATTCCAGAGGGCAGGTGAACCAATAAAACATATGTGTTATGTAGTGTGCTGGTGGTGATAAGTACCATGGAGAAAAATTAAGCAGGAAGAGAGATGGAAGCATTGTGGGGGTGGTTTGTAATTTTAAAATGGTGGATAGGATGGAAGTCCTCGCTGAGAAGATGACATTTGAGCAGAGAGTGGAACGAAGGGAGGGTGAGCCACCTGGGGGTTTGAGAAAGGATGTCCAGCAGAGGGGCCGATAGATGCAAAGGCTCTGAGGCATGAGCAAGGGGCCAGGTTCACCCAGGAGGTGGAACAGAGTGGGCTGCGGAGAGGGGTACCTGAGGTCAGGCAGGTGGCGGTGACCTTGTGGGCTGTGGTGAGCACTTTGGCTTTTCCTCTGAGTGAGGTGGGAGCCATAGGGAAGTTTTGTTAGTTCTTATATCAGCTTTGTTGACATTTAATTCATGTAGTGTACAATTTGCTCATTTGAAGTGTACAATTGAATTGGTTTCGGTCTATTCTGAGGGCTGTGCAACCACCACCACAATCCACTTTAGAACATCTTCAGCACCTCAGAAAAGAAGGCTTGTCCCCTTTAGCAGCCACTTCCGATTGTCCCCCAGCCGAGGCAAACACTGCTCACTGTCTCTATGGATTTGCCTGTTTGGGAGAGTTCCTATATACGGACTCATAATAGGTGAACCTTTTGTGTCTGACTTTTTCATTTAGGATAACATTTGCAAGGTACATCCATGTTGTAGCACGTGTCAGCACTTCCTTCCTTTTTATGCTGAATAATATTGCATATTTTATCTATCCATCAGCTATTTAGGCTGTCTCCACCTTTTGGCTGTGGTGAATAGTGCTGCAGTTGACATTGGTGCACAGCTTTTTGTGTGGACATGGTTTTCTTCCTCTCGTTTATACCCAGAACTGGACTCTGGTAGCTATCAGGTCTTATGGGTCTTATGGTCTAAACAGGGCTCTGTTTATCCTTTGGGGGAACTGCTTTGCAGAGCAGCGGCACCGTCTTACAATCCCACCAGCAGTATAGGAGGGTTCTAAGTTTTCACATCTTTACCTACACTCACTAGCTGCCTTGACAATGGGAGGAGGAATGTCACCTGATTTGTTTTTACATCTGTGCTGATAATATTTTATTATCATTACTTTTTCTTTTTCTCCTGCATCTTAGTCTTTCCTCATCCAGGCAAGGCCTCTCTCTAAAACATGACGAAGTCTGTTTTCCTGCTTCTCATGTTGCCCCTGCCCAGCCATGGGAAGTGACTCTCCCCAGAGAGGTCACAGCCGGTCACGTGTGTCAGACAAGCTTTCATCTCTGCCTTTCTCTCTTGTAGAGTGACTGGGTGGTGTGACATGAGCACACTCCTGCCTTGGCCTTGGGGCTCTCTTGAGTAAGCACCACGCACATTTGGACCTTGAAGACTTGATAATAAATAAACGTTAGATTGGGGGCCATGGTCAAAGGCAAGTTGGTCCTTGCTGAGGCAAAATGGGTATCAAGGAAAGGGGAGGTGTCAGGGCCAGGGCTGACCCCAGATTTTAGTTGATTGGTTAATTCCCAAGGACTATAAAAGTCAATAGAAATGAAACAGTCCTTGTAACTGATGGCTGTTGATGGCCTTAAGAAATACAGTGAAATAAATTAACTAATCAATTAGTTACTTGATTGGTTAATTAAAGACTTACCTAGCTAATTGACTACTTCAGTCTTTAAGGAGTATGTGCTATGTGCTAGGCATTTTTCTAGGTGCTGGGATCATCCACTAACAGAAACAGACCAGCTTCTCTTGGTAGCTGGTGGGAGAAGAAGGAATAAACACATAAATGGATAAGACAATCTCAGAGAAATGGGGTGACTTGATGGGGAGTGATTGTGGCTTGGGGCTCCCATCTTGACTGATTAAACCGTGAAGGCCTTTCTGAGGAGTGGGCTTTTGAGGAGGAGAAGGAGTCAGCCCTGGGAGGATCTGGGGGAGGAGAGTTCTAGGCTGGGGGAACAGCAAATGCAAAGGCTCTGGGGCAGGGAGAAATCTGGGGCTGTTCAAGAAACAGAAAGCAAGTCAGGAGACTGGGAGAAGGGTGGACAAGGGGAGAGGCTGTGGGGCGGGGGCAGAAAGTGGTCAGCAGCCAGGTCATACAAGACCTCTGGACAACACTGACAGCCAGCCCCCGTTGTCTCACACATGCCAGGCATTGTTTAAGCACTGTCAGAGTTTTCTGACTTGTTTAATCCTCACGGCAGCCTTGGAGAGGCTTACCTTCATTTGACAGGTGAGAAAACTAAGGTGCAGAGAGGACTAAGCCCACTTGCCCCAGGACTCTGGAGTGGAAACCCCGGAGTACGGATTTCTCTCAACTTGTTCCCACCTGACACATAGCCTTGTGTGTGCCCCTGGATCTAGGTCAGTAGTTGGGCCTCTGCTCCTGATACTCTGGAAAAGGTTGGGTCTCCTGAGGTGAGGACAGTACCAAGCTTTCCAGCTCCACACAATAGGTGCTCCATAAACTCTGGCTCAGGCCAGGCCCTGTTGCTTAAGCATGGGCTTGGTTGAAGGTTGCTTCCTTCCAGGGTGGAAGAAGAGCTTCAGAACGCCTCATTCTGAGTCCTCGCAGGTGTTGGAGAAACAGCCCTTCCATCCCCTGTAATCCAGGAGGAGTCTTTTTGCCTCTCAGTAACCCCACCTGGAGTGTGAGGGGATTCGCCTATGTCAGGGTCCAGAACAGAGTACAAGGTGGTGGGGCTGCAGGTACCAGGAAGCAGGCCAGGTGTGGGCTGCCCAGGACTACCAGAAGTGCGTGCCAGCGAAGCACCCATTTGCCATTACCCATCCTTCATTTGCTCACTTGCTCACCTCTGTCTCCCTCCTCCTCAGAAAGCAAAACTTAGATTTGTTGACTTAACCTCTCTGTGCCTGTTTCCTTATCTGTAAAATGGAGCCATTTGTGCAAGGCTCCTCATGCATTCATTGTAAAGTGTGCATCAGTGAGCAAGCCTTACCTGCCTGGCATTGTTCTAGAGCTGGGGACAGGGCAAGGGGTGGGGGACACAGCCTCTGCTTGCAGTGTTCTAGCTAGGGGGTTGTTAGAATGCAAGGAACAAGTGAGTGTGTAAGGCGCCAGGTGGTGCCCAGTGATAAGGGGGGCTGGGAGGGCTGGCGCTATTTTATTTTACATAGGGTGGCGGGAAGGCATTTCTGATAAGGGGGCCAAGCGGTCATGAAAGAGGGAGCCGGCAGATATCCGGGGAAACACAATTCAAGTGGAGGGCGCACAAGGCCCCGGAGGGGGAGCCTGCGGACCTGTTCCAGGAGGAGTGACGCTGGAACAGGGTGTGTGACGGTGGGTGTGCGCGCGTGGGGGCTTCAAGGACTGGGCAATGAGGTCGCCGCGGCGGAGGCGGGGCAAGTGGGTGTGAACGACGACGACGGTCACGACTGAGAACGTGGGAGGGGAGGAGAGCCAGGGCCCCAGACGCGTACCAGGGGAGGCAGAGGACGGGGAGCAGGACAAGGAGCGAGTGGTCAAGAGAGGGAGGGACGCGAGGGGAGGGGCGCCTGGTCCAACTGTCACCCGGTCGTCACCCGGCCGCCCCCCGCGGAAACGGAAGCCTGAACTCAGGGCCAGCCGCCACTTGGAGGGGCGTGTCCTGGAGGACGAGGCCCCGCCCCCAAGACCTTCCGATCCGCGCACCGCCCACAATCCCGCCCACGGCCCTGCCCCGAACCGCGGGGCCCCGCCCCCCCGCCGCAGCTTGCCCGAATCCCCATGTCTTGAGCGTTCGGGGGTGGGCCGGCGGCGCCTGCGATGGCTCATAAAACGGCTGGCCACCTGCCGGGCCGTTCCTCCGTGAGCTGCCGTCCGGGCCCTGCCGTGCAGTTGCGGTCCGCGCTATCCGAGTCGCCGCCTCTGCCGCCTGTGCTCCGGAGCTCCCCAGGCGCGGAGCG